CGTCTGAACCAGCAAAAGATCGGCCGGTCCATCGTCGTCTAGATGGCTCGAGGACGGTGGTGCACTGCCAGACACCACGCCCTCTTGGAGCTCAGTGGGGCGCCAGCCCACCGAGCTTACGCGTTTTTTGGCTGTGCCGCGGGCGTCTTCGACGGCTGCGGGCACTTGGTGGCGTAGTGGCCGAGGTTCTGGCACTTGTGGCATCGCACTTCCGAGATCGGCGGTCGGCCGGAACTCGGCGCCTTGGGATCACCCTTCTTCTCGGCCTTGGGCGCACCGCCACTGCCGTTCCCTGGCTTCTTGTTGGCGGCCTGCGCGTCCTCAAACGTCAACGCAAGGTCGATCGTCTCATTAAGGTCTTCTGGCCGGTGGGTCGTGATGTACAATGACGTCTCGGCCCGCAGGTTCTGCTGGTAAAGCCAGCGCTTGACAAGCTCGGGCAACTCCATCTCGAGCGAGTTGAGAATCGAGAGGAACTTGCTCGTGTACTCTGACTGGCTGGTACTGAAGCTCAAGTTGTAGAGCTTGGTCAAGCACTTGAACTGGTGGTCCGCGTCCTGGAACCGTTCCTTGAGGCAGCGCCGGAACTCGTCCCATGCGATCGGTCCCTCGTGGGACATCTTGTAGTCGCGGTACCAGTGCATAACGTCCGTGCCAAAGTTGAGCGCGACGTTCGTCACGAGCTTGCCGTTCGTCCGGTCGGCTGGGCTCGCGTCGGCGTAGTACTCCTCCATCGAGAAGAGCCACACCTCAATGTTCTCGTGCGCCTTGCCGTTGAACTGCGCCGGCATCGCCTTCTTCTGCGCCGCCTGCGGCGCCGAGAGCAACGCTTGCTGGAGCGCTTGCTGCGAGTTCGTGAGGCCTTGCGTGAAAAGTGAGCTCATGTGCTGCATGAACTGCTGCTGCATCTGCATCGCCGCTTGCCGCTCGTACTGCATCTGCTCGGCCTGCTGTCTCTGGAGCTGGGCCTGCTGCATGAAGAGCTGGGCGAGCATGTCGGTCGCGGACGGAGCTCCAGCCGTCGGCGTCGGCTCGGACACTGGCGGCGGCGGCGGATTACCGCCCCGAGGACTACGAGGCGACGTCGGTCCGTTCGGCGGATTGCCGGCGGCGGCGGCGGCACCTTGGAAGAACGCCGGAATCTCGACACCGTCATCGCCTCGCTGCTGCTGGTGCGGGCGCGGGTTCGGGCTGGGCTCTTCGTGGTCTCGGGCTCGTCGTTGGGTACTCATTGCAATGATCGTGCCTTCAAACTGATCCTTTGGATAGTTTTAAAACTGTTAGGCTGCTTGCTGAAAGGCAAATTGAAAACTGAATTACCAAGCACTTAAAGACCTTGTCTTGGAACGTCTGGACGAGACCTTGTCTTGGAACGTCTGGACGAGGGCGTCTGGGGCAAGGGTAGCTGGCTGGAGCCTTCGAGAGATTTCTAGAACTCCTTCCAGCAGGCTTGGCGTCGGCATCACCAAAAGGATCGTAAGTACGTCTTGGTGATGACGTCACACGACACATGGATGATGTTGTCGTGACATTCCGGGCCGCACGCACCATGCTCTGAAGCTTTAAACACTCGTCCTTGAGCGCTGCATTTTCCTAGTACAGTGCATACGGCTGTCGATGTTTTCGCTTAGGACATACCTCCTCGAGGTCTGCGATGAGATGACTGTGCTGGGATGATGCCGTCTGAGAAGCCAATATCAAGTGGGGAAGTCACCCGCTGCCTCGCACCTTGTCCGAGACAGCCGCTTCATAGGCCTGTTTCCAGGTAGCGATTTCCTCGTCCTTGGCTTCGACGGCTAGTCGCAGCCGGTCCAGCTCTACATCTCCATGAGTTGCTACTGGCGACGACGTTAGCCGTACCTGCAACGTCGTTCAGTGTGCGCGGAGACGGCAGCCGCTACACCGACACCGTGGCATCGCAATGCAAGTCGTGTACATCTCACCGAGCGAGACGCGTCGTTGCGGAGGTGCGGTATGCAAGATGGTTTGGGTGGTGCGTCTGCGTCTCCACGAATCAAGCCTTGGGCGATGCGAAATGGCTTCGTACCTAGCTTGGCCGCTTGGAGCTGTTGCTGGAGCGACTTGACGAGCTCGACAAGCCGTTCTTTCTCAATCTACGCTGCTCGTCACACGAAGCGGAGAGTCGCTACAGACCGCCAAGGCTTGGTAATTGCCAAACTGGTCTTTGGTGAGACTGGCTTTTGTGTGTTTGAGATCGGTCGATTGCGCAGCTTGCAAGTCACGCTGGAACGACTCGAGCAGACTTGCTTGGTGCGCCAGCTACAGAGCGTACCGCATCAGTTCGTAGCACGCTGGATTTATCGCAACTTGTCGCTTTTGGTCCTTGCAGAGCAGTTTGAGCGCTTCGAGTTCATCGGCGTCATGCGGTTTGCTGTCAGCCGTGCGGGCCCGCGAGCTCGGTCCGGGCTTTTTTGCTTCTAGCTCGCTTTGGAGGCGGTCGATGAGGAGGTCGTCGTTCTTGGACTTCTCTAATAGCACGCTGATCTTGACCTTGCTCTTGCTCGCGTCCTTTTCGAACACGTGGAGGCGGGCTTTCGTGGTATCGTATTTTTCTGTAGTTTCTCATGGCTCTCGCGCAGTGCATTGCTGTCGTCGAGGAGCTTGTCGATTTGCTTTTGGCGCTCGAGTTTTGTCGCGGCGAGGTCGTCTTCGGCCTTGCGATCGACATCCCGTGGCGCCTATGTTCACATTTATATATGAGATTGTGTCGTATCCAGTGGCGTTACGTCGAGAGGACTTGGATTCGCGCGTTCGAGCTTTTTGATTTTGGCTTTGAGCATCACGATTTGCTGGGCGCGGCCTCGCTTCCCGCTGTCGCTCGCATCGAGAATGTCACTCAACGCTACGTCGTCGCCCACCTGATTGGACAAGTTTTGAGTGGCCGATTCGAAAAATGACATTCTTACTTCGCGCTGGAGGGCGCGCTGCGTGCGTTTGAGTTCGACCGCTTGCGCCTCGCACTTGAGCTTGAGCTCCTCGAGCTTTTTGGACGCAGCGATTTCCTTCTCGGGCGACGGCACCTTCTTCGCCGCCTCGGGTCGAGGCAGTTGTTGGAGTCGCTGCAACGCGCGCTCGGCTTTGCTCTGCAGTGTCTGCGCCGCCTCGACCGCACGCTCCAATTCGGCCATCTTGGCACTGGCGGCCGCCACGCGAGTCTTTTCCTTGTTGTAGGCCAGCGTCGCTTGGCGAAGTTTCTTGGCTTGGTGCACGATCTTGACGTTGCGAATGTCCTAAACTCGAGGGTTAGGGCTTTTTGCACCACGTATGATGAGACGGCATAGTACATGGTCGACAATCTCGGAGCCTTGTAGAATGTCCTTAAACGAGTCCACGTCGAGGCCAGGGACGGGCTCCATGGCCTCGAGTAAGAGCTGCAGTCTACGCACACCGTGACGCGTGGAACGATCGCTGCAGGATGCGCACTCGTTGATTTGCTGCTTTTGGCTCTTAATGGCCGCCACGAGCTCTGCATTTTGGTGCTTGAGCATCTGAATGTCGCTGATACCGTCCCACTTGAAGTCACTCTGGTTGCTGGAGCTCGTCTCGATGACCGGCGGAATGTCCTCCAGCGCATGGCCATCGTCGTCGCTGTCGCTGTCGTCAAACTCGGGCAACGCCAGCGGCGCCTAACATGGGTGCTACGCAGGCGTTCTGTGAGAGCAAGTGTACCTTGTGGCGAGGCGGCGGCGCTGGCCCGAGCTCCATCTTGGCACTCGCGCGCTTCGTCTCGACGACGAGGCTCATGGGGCGGCGGTTTCGGTGACAGTTGTCGTCTCAACCGACTCGGTGGCGTTGAGACAGCGACGCCAGCTCGGCAGTGAGCGCAGTCTGCAAATTATGCCCAACCCACGCACAAAAGAGGTCGCGCGCCGACCGAGCCTCTCGTCGCTGCTCATGCCCACCGCGCGCTTCACGCGCGACCACCCCAAGCTCGCCAAGGTGCCAATCTCGGTCGCGGTCGCCATCGAGCGAGCGCTCAAGGTCAAGCGCGATTGAGTCGCACGCCATCGCACCGCAAGGAATAGCGGCGACGTATTCTTATTTACAGCGAATAGACACGACACATGCCACGATGTTGCGTGCGTTATAGCTTCGGGTACCCTACACCCCTACCCCTTGAAGGTTGGACGGGGAACTCTCTACACGCGCCATCTCGTTTCTTATATGAGACCAGTGGCCGGCGTGAATCCCGCGATGCGATGATTGTCAACGTCGCACGGGCCTGTCGACATCAGCTTGCTCAACTCGAACGCAAGGGCTGTTGGAAATCCCACAGCGGCTAACGATCTAGACCAACAGAACTACACACTATTCACAGATTACCACCGGTCTAGCTTACATAACGAACAATATCACTTTCATATTTGCATTCTACTACACACATCTCCGACCGTGCCACGGTACAGCACACTGCGTGGCTCAGACTTCTTACAAGGGCTTCATCCACCTGCTGCGAGTGCTCGCCCCTCACGAGGCTCGTGCAAACGCCGACGCTGTCCCCTCGCCGCGCTCCTTCGAATGGCCTCATTCCAAGCGCTCTCTATGCTCGGTTACAGCACTGAGAGCCCAAGAAGAGCGGCTTCACGCAACATTCGCCGTATAAAAGTGGGGATGCCACCTCGTCCTAGTATGGCACAGCGCTTGTCTCCGATACATTGGATAGCGTACTACTAGTACTCAAGTAGTGATGTTGGGCCACTGGTGGGTGTGCCAGCCATGCATATATGTAGACGTTGGAGCGCCTCGTGCGAGGCCTGCGTCATCCCTGTCTCTGTTTCGAAGTTACCAAAAAAACCTGCGGCAGTGACAAGTGCATAGGATGTGGTTGCTTCCACACAAAGTGTCAAGATGCATATCTCGACACCGCTCAGTCAAGTCCGCGTCAAAGACGTGGTCCGCGGGGAAAGACTTGATCTTTGTATATATAGTCACCCTAACCCTACGTGAAAATCGACTGCTTATTTGCTGGCAGACACACAATGGACTTGGAGGGCGCATTCGACGAGGTCATGGCGGCGCTCTTGTGCGCCGACAAGCGCGACGTGGATGACATCACGCGCGTTCTGATTGGCCTCGCGCACTTTATCGCTGCCATCGACGAGACGCTCACGGCGACACACCGCATGACGCTCAAGCAGGTCGGTCGCCAGTGGCTCGCGGCCGTCGAGTCGACCTGGTACCAGTACGGCCTCGACGACGACGCCAAAGGCCTCGAAGCGCAGCTCGAAGAGGTGCGGGACGCGCTCGCCTCCGTCACTGGTACTGCATGCATACTACACTCGTCTCCAGTGCATCTCATACGCGATGCTCCGTAGACCACCCGACCAAGAACGTGCACGTCCACGACTCGCTACCGCCTATCGCACTGCGTGAGCTAAGCTTCATGGAGGCTGGCTTTGGCTGGCAGACTTGGGGCGCGAGCCTCGTTTTAGCCCACGCGATCGCAACGGACGAAGTCGACGTCCGCGGGCGCCGCGTGCTCGAGGTCGGCTGCGGCACCGGCCTCGTCGGCATTGTCGCCGCGCTCAAAGGCGCGTCCGAGGTCGTCCTCACCGACTTTCTGCCCGAGGTCCTCCAAAATGCACGCTTCAACGCCGAGGCCAACGGCGTCCGTGACGTCTGCTGCGTCGCCAAGCTCGATTGGCGGTCGCCGGTCCTCGAGCCTGATGATGCGAAGCGTTTTGATATGATATTGGCGGCCGACTGTTGCTACGAAATCGAGCACGCCAAGCTCCTCCCACCCGTGTTCCAAAAGTACCTCGCCACAACGTCCACCGTGCACCTGGTCAACGCGGTCCGATGCGGGTTTGACGCAGAGCTCAATGCGTGGGAAGCAGCAGTGCGCGACGCGAACCTCATATTCGCGAACGTGCACGCGATTCACGACGAGAGCGCTGTGGACAATGGCCCACCCGCAGAGTTTCGCTACTATCGCATTGCCCACCCCAGCGCATAGCATTTTATGTCAAGACAGTGTCTTTTACAGTGTTTACTACGCCAACCAGTGGACCGATCGAAAGATCACCACACGACGCACTTGTGAGGGGGGTTCATAGGCGACCCGACGGGACACTGGAACGTCTCGGCAAAGAGAGCCGAGTTCATGAGGGGACCGTTCACGCGCCACTTACCGGGTGAGTGCGGGTCCAGGCCAAGAAGCAGTTCGGCGTACGCATCGGACCGCTTCTCGCACCACGCCTGGGCAAACGCTGTAAAGTACAACTTGGTCTCGGCCTTCGAGATCGGACGGGCTTGGGTCGCTGCATACGCCAAATACGCGAGCTTGAGCCCGCCGTTGTCGGCGATGTTTTCGCCGAGCGTGAGCCGGCCATCGACAAACCCGATGCGCATCGACGCGTCCAGCGACGTCACTTCAAACGACGAGTACTGCGCCGCCAAGCAGTCGGCCTTGATATCGAACGTCTTGCTCACGGACGGGGACCACCACATGCGGAGGTTCCCGTTGGCGTCGTAGTTGCGGCCTTGGTCGTCAAAGCCGTGCGTGAGCTCGTGGCCCATGACCATGCCGATGCGCGCATAGTTGGCGATGATTGGCATGGCATGGGCAGAGTAAAACGGCGCCTGGAGGATCGCGGCTGGAAACACCATCTTGTTGGCGCTGGGGTCGTAGTAGGCGTTCACGGTCGACGCTGAGAGGCCCCACGCCTGCGGGTCTACCGGCGCCCCGATCGACGTGAGCGCAATGTGCATCTCGTGCGCCTTCAGCTGCGCCACGTTGGCGAAAAACCCGTGCTGTTGATGGCAAACGGAAGCGGCGGCGTGCCCTCGGGGCCGCCCACAAGGTTGAAGATGTGGTGCAATTTGGCCAGCCCTTCCTTGCGCGTCGCCTCATCGAGCCACGGCTCGTTGGAGAGGACATTGCCCATGGCCGCCTCGATTTCAGTGATGAGCGACCGGGCGGCGACCTTGGTGCTCTTGTCCCAGACCCGTTCCAGGTAGTAGGAGCCGAGGACAGCACCCAAGTGCGCTTCGGTGAGCCCGAGACAGTAGTCGGCCCGCGTGCTGTCGACGCCGAGGCCGCTGAGCGTTCCGTGAAACTTGTGGCTCGCAGCGCGAAAGCGCTCGCCAAGCAGAGGGCTCTGGCTGTCGATCAAGCGGAAGCTCACATACTTGATGAGCGTGTCCAAGTCGACGTCGTCGCTGGCCAGGAGCGCGGCCTGGGATGCGAAGAAATCGGGCGTCGAAACCACGATCGTCGAGTTTGCAAGCGTCTCGTACACCCCAGCACCGGTAAGATACGCGGCGACGTGTGGGAATTGAGCCTCGAGGTCGGCGAGCGAGAAGGCGTGGTACGTCGCCCACGGGTCCCGGAGCGCGGCGTTGGCGACCGACATGGTTGCAAACGACGTCTCGAGTTTCAAGAGGCGGTGCGTGAATGCCGTGACGTTGTGCCGGGCAAAGGCGTCGACACTCGCCAAGCTCGTGACGTACTCGACGAAAAGCCGCGAGTACTTGGCCCGCTTGTGCGCGTCCACGTAGTAGTCGCGGCCGGGGAACGTCAGCCCGCCTTGGGACAGCGAGAGCACGTTCGTCGTCGCGTTCTTCGGGTTGCCCAGCACCTCGAGGCTGAAGAAGGCGTTGACGCTGGACGAGCGAAAGAGTGCACCTGCGTACGCGATCACGGCGGCTTTGGACGTGAGCGACGCGACGTGTGCAAGCTGGGCCGAGACCGCGGTGACACCAACGTCGTCGACAGCGCCCACCGAGATGCACGACTGGTACAGCGGTCCGATCACCGGCGGGTTGGACTGAACGATGTGCTCGATGAGCTTGGCGTTGGCATCCGCCACCACACGAAACGACGTGTCGACCGCGTTGGCGTCCGACGGAATGGTGGCGTTCTGGAGCCAGCCGCCGCACGCGTGCCGGTAAAAGTTGTGGCACGGATCGATCGCGTCGTCGCGCATCGCAGCCGTCTGCGCATAGAACGCATCAAAGCGCGTGTCGGGCTCCTCGACGGCGACAATGACGACGACGGTGTCATCGTGCTGCTGGAGCGTGAGCACGCACCCGAACGCCGCAAAAAGAGAGGCAATCGCGATCGCAAATGCCCGGCGGGTCCATGGGCGAGGCCCGCGATGCGGCACGGTGGTCGGCTCGACTGCGCCGTACGCCGTGCGAAAGGACATGGTACCGAGCGGAACCGTGGTCATCGACATGCTTGTGCCTCTGGCTGCGGGTTGAATTATGCTTTTCTCGCGTCGCTTGAGATTTGTAACTGATGCCCATCAGCCAAAGGGGCGCCGACGCGTGCGAGCCACTCAAGTGAGACGTTGGACCATGTTACTGTTATTCGAAATCGCTGTCCGAGAGGTCGTCGAGAGCCCAGTCGTCGCGGTCGCTGGCTTCTTCGAGAAACGCATCTTCTAGCACAGCAATCCTGTGAGTTCCGTGATGGTTCTGGATGGCGCACCGCTGCAATTGTCCCACTCGACGGCCGCCGCCAGGATCTTCTTGCCGTACCCTTGGGTTGATCGTCGAGGCGGAAGCACCTCAACTGCAACCTGTGGTGGTGGCGTCGGTGGCCGGGCGGCGAGTGCGCCGATGTGTGACAATACGCACATCTGTGACGCGGGCGACAACACGATCGGGTTGCCGCCAGAGTACGCGTCTTCCGACGCTTGCGCAAGCATGAGTCCTTCCAAGGTGTCGTCGGACAAGGGCAGAGAACGATCGTAGCTGTCGTGGCCTTGGCTGCTAGGTGCTGCGACGATTGCACCAATCGGCGCAAGCTGCGTTGCGTCGTCGGCCTCGCTTGCAGTGCTGGCAAAGAGGCTCCGTGGTCGACCGCCGGTCGTCATGTGCGGGGGCAGCGAGAAGATGGCATCGACGTCGTCGCCAAAGAAGCATGGGGACTCGGCCTCCTCGGGCGCCGACGACGCCATGACCGTACAGTCACGGTCGTCGGCGGTGGTAGGGCTGCGGTGGAGCCGCGGCCGCTTGCGCTCGGGGCTCGTGTAGCACTCGTCCATCCAAGTTGCGTTCTTTTAGATTCCCGTCGCCGACCATGGCAGTTACACGCACATGGTATTTAAATATAAAGACGCAATAAAATTGCGTCGCATGAGCCCC